GGGGGGGGGGGCGTGCGTACATCTGAGAGAGTGGGAACAAGGGAGAAGGAGACAGCACTGCTTTTAATCTGCAGTATATTACTCTTGTTTTGTTCATGTTTGTAAGTATTGCCTAAGTAAGTGCATTTAGGGGCAAGGGATAGGAGTCTGGGGATCAAGGGGCATTTTTGGCATGAGGGCTGTTTGGAAAGAAGTACGCGGTTTGAAGCGACTCCTGGACACGGGCCGCGATTCAAAAACGAATCCGCTTCCAAGCCCCATGTGGCCTGCGGCCGGATCCGAGGGCCCTGATGTGCCGAAACCTTATTCTCGGTGCAGATCCAGAACTCCCCCAGAGATAAGAATCACTGAGTACAGATCACTGGAACACTGGAGCCGAAAGGAATATCAGAGAATGGACTGAAATTAGATGTGATGGTCTGGTTAGCGTGTCTTGCTTCTGCTCTGATGATTTTCCCAATCAAAAGGAGAATACATGCAAGCGCCCCCCCCCAGGTCCCTTTGGTCACACCTTTGCATTTCTCCAGGTGGTGGTTTGCTTCCATCTTCTTTTCCAGATGGCGGGAAGTGGTCTAAGCTTTGAGATCCTGGAATCCTTGTCTTTGTGTGTTTATTATGGTTCCCTCTCTTTATGTGTTGCAGGGGCGCCCTACTGGACCCTGCCAGATAGGATGGAGAAGAAGCTGCACGCCGTGCCGGCGGCCAACACGGTGAAGTTCCGCTGCGCGGCGGGAGGGAACCCCAAACCCACCATGCACTGGCAAAAGAATGGCAAACCTTTCCGACCAGAGGACCGCATGGGAGGGTACAAGGTAGGGGAATTTCCATGTGGTGGAGGGACTCTGGGAAGTGGCTGGAAAGACTGGGAAAAGCTCTCATTAAGGCAGCAAAGTGCGATGGAACGTGACATGTGACTAAAATACTAGGATGGGATTGGCTGACGTGTAGGAAAATAAGCTCTCATTAAGGCAGCAAAGTGCGATGGAACGTGACATGTGACTAAAATACTAGGATGGGATTGGCTGATGTGTAGGAAAACCACCTCAATCCAGTCTGTTATAGTAACCAGTGAGGTTTATGGCTATGATTTATAATTGTTTGCAGAGGAAACTGGGTTGGGGAAAGTAGTGCTTGGGGTGATTTGCTTTTGCTTAAAACCTGATCATTTCATAATAAGTTGGTCTGAATTCTCTTATGGGGTCTGTAGTGTTTTTGTCTGACTGAGTTAGTTGGATACCCTAAATGAGCTCCCCTACGGTGTGGTGGGGGACGGGGCACGGGGGGGGGGTTCATTTTGGTGTGGCAGTTGCCCTGTGATCTCGGCCCCTCGTACTCCCTGGTGCTGACAGCTCATCCATCAGACTCTCCTTCACTGACTGCTCCTTGTGGGGGGAGGGTTGGGATTAAGATAGGGTTAGGGTTTGGGATTTGTGGATTAGTTATCCCAGAAAACCCCCTAGGGGCTCCTGAATGGGCAAGAGATGGTTCAACAGAGTAACGCTTAGAAATAAAGTGGAAAAATATGTGAAAGTGATGCATTACTCTCTTATTATTTGGAGAATATTGGACTTGTTATATACACTAACATAAATTGGGGAGGGGGGGGGATTACTACACTCACCTGCAGGGGGTGGGACCTGGGCCGCAAATCCCAGGAAGTGCCCCCCACCCCCCGAGACTGGGATCTCAGTGTCCCTACTTTGAAATTCCGCAGAGGTTTGATCTCTGGTTAAAATTTAACTTCTCTTCATTTGAACAAACTGGGGCCTCATCTGAATTGTTTGTACACCCTAAACTTTAATCAAAAGGAATAAAAGCGTGTTTAATGGCTGAGCTCATCACTCCGCTTTATCAGAGAACGTCTCCAGCAGTTTGTCAGCTCAGTCTGTATCCTCAATAAAGAAGCAAAATATTCATTTATAGACCCACCCTGTGCTGGAGCAGTGTTTGAAATGGATGGATTTCTTAATATGCATTAAAATGATGTAATATGCTCTGATGATTCTCCCAATCAAAAGGAGAATGTATGTGTATGCGTGTGTGTGTATGTGTTTGTGTGTGCGTGTGTGTGTATGCGTGTGTATATGTGTGTGTGCGTGTATGTGGGTGCGTGAATGTGTGTGTGTGTGTGTGTGCGAGCGGGTTTATGTACACAATGTCCCCATAACGTGATAAATATCCGTTTTATTTCCCTTATTGGGACCGGTTTCCTGGTCCCCATAAGGGAAAACTCTATTTTATAAAAATCGGTGACTGCTATGAAAAAACTAAAAATGCAAAAACTTGTTAGGTTACTTATGGTTATGGTTAGGGCTGGGTGGGGGTTAAGGTTGTCATAGTTAGCGTTCGCATTTTTCCCATTGAAATGAATGAGCGGTCCCCATAAGGATATGTTTACCCTACATGTGCGTGTGTGTGTGTGTCTGTGTGTGTGTACATATAACATGTCACACAGTCCCACCCATTCTCCATCCTCGCTTATCCAGTACAGGGTCACATGGGATCAGATGCCTGTCTCAGCCAGCCTGAGTCAGGGGACACCATGCGTAGGACAAAATCATTTAGAGATACCAGTTCACCCAGCTGAATGTTTCTGGGTTGTGGGAGGAAACCAGTGTACCCAGGGGAAATCCACCCAGACAGGAGAAGAAGGTGCAGGAATCGAACCTTCAGCCCTGGAGGCCGCGTGCTACCTGCTCTTTTCTTTTTGGATGGTTTATTTTTTAGCCAACTCCATCACGTCCTCCTGTGCCCCGTAAGAACTGCTTGTTTTTTCCCGCAGAATATGGAAGTCCTTCAGAAAGCTCAAACAAATGCAGGAAGTTGTTGTGTTAATTAGAGTTTCCTCTCAGGAAGTCGCCGGCTTGGAACGTTCGAAGAAACGCACGGTGATAATTCCTGCAAAAGAATGTCCGTTTCCCTTCATTTTCTTGAAGATTCTCCAGATTTTGGGTCACTTAGTGGTTTTGGAAGCACTACCCATTAAGTGTGCCGTAACAGGGTACAGACAGACTCAGAATATTGAAACTAAACAACAGCTAATTGTGAGGAACTCCATATGGATGTTGATTGGCATCAGTCTGTAAACTGCTTCGCCGTCCCTGCATGGGTCAGCTTCTGCGTGGGGCCTCGAGGTCAGAGGTCCAGAGCCCAGTCTGTCGCTTGGTGACCCCTCTGTGGTCTTCTCCTCATTGGCTTTCCCCTCAGACCTCTTCAGACACCACCCTAACCAAACACGAAAGTGTCCACACCACCCCTCATAAGTCCAGATACACACACACACACAAACACACACACACACATATATATTTTTTTTTATTTTTGGGAGATTAAAAAATACTACCCATAAATTAAATCCACTTTTTGAGCCCTTCTTCACTGCGTTGCCAGCACAGATATCGAATCGATTTGGGAATATGAGCAAATACTGCGAAAAAACCAAACAGAAGTATGAGGGTGTGTTTGCACGGTTTATGCGAAACCCTAACGCTGAAAAGCTGAGCGACTACAGGTGTTACGCCTCCTGCTGAACACGCTTTAAATTTTTAAATCTGACTTATAACAATAGCAATATTTATGGTATATTTTACATTTATTTTGAGTTTGTTTTGTGGTGTTTTCATTGCCTGTCAAAGAATTAGCAGGCGAGGTGATCTTGGAGTTAGGAATGTTTTTTCCCCTCTTTTATTAATGCAGTAAATTTTTATCTACATCAATCTGTCGGTATCTTAGAATTTTCCTTTCTCCTAACAAAATAAAGAGTTATTTGTGAGCTAAAAAAACGTTTATAGCATTCTGCCTAGGTAATCTTTCTTCCCTGTGTGTGTTGAGGCAGGGCTCCACCATTTTGCAAAGCAGGTTTAAGGTTTAAGGTTTAAGGTTTATCCTTCTTCTTAAGGAATGCCTGCCTTGGTTTGTCTGCAGGTGAGATACCAGCACTGGACCCTGATCATGGAGAGTGTGGTTCCTTCGGACAAAGGCAACTACACCTGTCTGGTGGAGAACAAGTACGGATCCATCAACCACACCTACACACTGGACGTAGTGGGTGAGTGCTTTGCCCAGACTGGTCTTGGGGGGAGGAGCGACTACAGAGTTCCTGTGTCTCAGAGACTTGGGTTAATGTATCTAATGCTTGTTAAGAAGGTATAAAAAGGCTGCTTTCCAGTGTTTCTGTGTGAATAAACGAGAGAGAGAGATAGAGAGAGAGATAGAGAAACAGAAACACAGTTTGTTCCTCTGGCTAAACCACTATCCAGCAGCCCAAAGATAAACTCACAGGAGCAGTTCAGCTCAAAATAGACTAATGACTGATCAGTTTGCTAAGCTTGCAGAAAGTTGGAGGGGGGGGTTTGGATGGATGGTTTGTGAGTGAGAGAGGCGGTTCACACAAGCACCTCGTGTTGCTCCGTGTTAGCGAGCGGGGAGTGGAGCCCTTGTTTCACGCTCAGCGAGCACCGACAATCCCAGCTCCACGTCGCAGCATTTAGCCCTTTAGACCCAGCCTGCCCCGCCAGAGAGCACGGCTAATGCTAACATGGCAATTGAGGCAGCTGCTGGCAAAGATTCTCTTGAGTCAATGTGGTGACGTGTCACCGGGCACCTGATTGCAAAGGGTGAGGGCGATGCCAACACTGCGTGCCTCTAGGACGCGGCGAAATGGGTGGCATCGCTGGACTAGCACAGGCTCACTGCTATTACCTCTGCTGAGGGCATGTAGGTAACCTGTGGGATCCATCCTGCACGATAAACCCCCCCCCCCCCACCAAAAAAAAAAATCT